ATTTGCCAAAATAGAGAAGTAATAGTTTCTCCTTGGTTAATACCATTTTTTATAGAGTAAAAGTTAGTAAGACCAAGATTAGTGATTACTTGGTTGATATGGTTAAAGAGAATATTGGATAAAATATTAATAAGCTGCTGAGGTATTTGTAGTTGGATAAGGAATTGCTTGAAAAGCTCAAAGTTGACTGAATCATATGCTTTGCTTATATCTTGTGATAGTAGCCAGAGTTGGTTAGATTGGCAATTGGTATCTTCGATGATATTATTAAGAATATGTATAGGGATGGAAGTAGAGTTGCCAGAAAGAGCAACATATAGTAGTTGTAAGGTAAAAAAATATTGTATTGATATAATACATTATTAAGGTGGTTTGTAAGAAGTTAGTATAGAGTTTTCTAATATATTTTACTAGGCTTATAGGCCTAGTATTAGATAGGTCATTGTAAAATATAGGTTTTTTAGAGATAGGAAGGATACAGCCCTCTTTTCATTGTTTAGATAATATTGAGTTTGAGGTAGCAATTAAAAAGAAAAGTAATTGCAAGGGTAAAAGAAGGGTCAGCATGTTTAATTATTTCATAGCTAATACCTAAAGAACCATATGCTTTATTATTAGGGAGTTGGCTGATAGTAGAGATTATTTTTTCTTAAGTAAAATTAAGCAAGATGTCAGAATACTATTCAGGATTTATATTGGGTTTGGGTTGTACTCTGATTGCTAGTAAGATTGAAAGATGTTGTAGTTAATATCACAAGATGCAGTTCAATTATCAAAATGTTGTTAAATATATGATTTAATAGTTTTGGGGTCAGTAATAATATTATTGTCTAATTTGATATTGCTAAACTTGACAAGGTCTTTGTGGCGATTAAGAATACTATTAATCATAGAAGTAGGGTGAGATTGGAGTTTAATACATCTTTTACTTATAAATTTGTTAATCTGTTGTTTAATTTTTTTAATATTTTTGATATTACTAGCATGGTAGATATTTTTTCATTCATTATTAGCATTAGAGATCCATGATAAAAAATGATGATGATATAGAGAGATAGGGGTAATTGAAAACTAAGTGTTTGATTTGGTTGGAAAAAGTTGAGGTTTAGATTAAGAGGAATTGGAGAATTGTTTTTAAGAGAGTATTTGATTTGGCGAATAATGTTGCCAAGTTTTTTAAAGCTTGAGTATAGTAAAGAGACTTTGTAAGAAAAAACATGTTGGAAGTTGCAAATAATAAATTTTTTATTAGAGATATGCTTAAGTGTGGCTGAGATAATACTGGTTTGAATTTTATATCAGGTAGATTTGATAGATTCATTAGTAACTACAGAAAAAGGAGTAGAGGATAAGACTCTTTTTCATATCCCTGCATTTTTATAAGTAAACAAAAATAATAAGCATTGCACAGAAAGAAACTATAATGAAACTAAATTATATCTAATTAAACTGAACCAATACAAAGTAAAACAAACCAACAACAACAAGACTAGCAAAAGAAATAACCATCATCTTCTAGAACCTCCCACAATCACCAACTTAAAAGATGCACAGTCACTCTATCTAGTCAATAAATGTCACCTCAACAAACGTGTCAAAAATAACAACATGTCTATACACTCCCAAAATCTTCAGCATACCATAACAACACCAATATTAACAGACAAACAGCAAACTCTAGAATACGAAAGCAACTCAAATTCCTTTCTTCAAAATATAAATGACAATGCTAACAGTGAAGCAAATAATATCGAAGCCCATTCAACTACCAAAACAAAACAAATTATGTTATTATCATAACAATCAAGCCTCACACCAGCTTAGAAAAATATTCCCACGCCCCATGACCCAATTCAGAAAAATACTCCCAGGCCCTAGAACACAATGATAGTTACCCAAACAACAGAGACCAATCTGGTTGAACCCAACCCAAATTTTACAATGATCAACAATAACTCAGTTAACCGTGAAATCAATGACCAAAACCAACTAATAGAATTATCTGATGATATTATATCCAAATTAAACCTACTACCAGAAGGTGATACAATATTTCAACAGCAATTGGCAAGTTGGCAACAAGCAAATAAACATCTATATAGTTAGGCAGCTACAAGGAGATCTCCACAAATTAATAGCTACTCAAACAACCTGTGGATTGAAGAACTAACTAACGAATTAGAAAAACATAAATCTAAATTATTCGATCACAGCACTTGGAATAATGATAAAATACTACATGCATTGAATAATGAAATAGCCTTCAAAGAGTTTATTAATCACAAAATCCAAATAGCAATATCTTCTATAAATATACCTAAAGCTATAGCAAAGAAGCTCAAATATAGAAGCACAGCATTCTTTAAATCCTTTTCAAGAGATAAAAATATACAACCAGATTACCAAGTAGAATTCAATACCCTGATGAACATAGTACTAGAAAAGTATAAATACAAACACAATGTTTTGCTAATAAATAAGAACAACTATAACCAAATCTATAATAAATTAAGAAAAAAAATAGCAATCGATGGCTTAATTTCACTAAATCTAATCAATGTGATGACTATGCCAGTGCTCAACATATCTTTTATCTCATCAACTTTGGCAAAATCGAAACAACTATGCAGATTGAACAGGTATGAGGTATAATCAGCAAAACCAATTAGCTAACAGGTTAGAACTATCAAGACTTCCCGAAGACATCCCAGTAGATATAGCAGACATATTACCATTTACTCTACCAATTAAAGATAACTACAAAACAGCATCGGTTGCCCAAACCCTAAGACTAGTATATACATTTAGGAACTTACCAGATTTATATTTCAAAAACACTCGCATACCTCTGCCTAGCCACTCTGGACAAGTATACTACTTGATACGAAATTTTTTCCCAATCAAAGATAGAGCCAAACTACAATTTTTATCAGAATATAGAAGGAAA